CCCGAATTTATAACTTGTTTTGGGCAAGGCCGTGGTCTAGGCAACACGGAGTTTTCGTCCGTGGCATCCCAACAATTACTCCATACACACAGAAGAAGGCAATGGCAAATCACTTCTGGATCATCTGCCAAGAACGTATATGAACAGGTCCCAGTCCGAGAAAAGGATGGAAGGATCCTGTTCATATGGACCTGTCGTCAGACAGAACACTACAAATAATAATTGATAAACGCATTTAGTTTGACTGCTATTCATGAGATGATATTGTTGGGTCATATTGTGATGTTTCTTAGTTTAAATACAGTCTGAAGTATGTGCACAGTTAATTAAGCAACACGGACGTGGCGAATCTTAAAGTATCGCTTCCCTGGAGGGACTGAGGAAAGACGCGATAATTGTCATAACACACACGACTGGCAGGGAAGAAGACTGAGCCTCCCGAATACGAAACAGAAGTGCTCAATACAGACGCTCAGGAGTTTCTAAGCACGAACTTGCTGTAAGGTCAACACTTACAAGTGCAGTGAACGATGATTAATTCCTATCGCATGCATTCGATCAGCTCCTCCGTTCTGAGTCCTTGGCTCAGTGCAGTCATTTCCAGCTGCGCTGTGCATACCAACGTATGAGGTCACTCGGGTGTCGCAGGCAAATGCAACACACGTGTAAGAGGAGATGCTGATGCTACCTGCACGTCACTACCAGCTTCATGTACAGACACTTGATACATTTGTATGATACTTTGATCCAATCACCGTCTTGTCCGTTCTTTGTCGATTTAACCAGCTGATAAAACATCTTTGAACGTCGAAGTCCGTCTAGTCTCTTCAGGCCAATATTTGGATACTGGTATAGCATGACCCGTCAACTTTAATGGGAATGAACGCAAATTAGCCCAGACCCCACCAGAGCCTCGTTTCAATTTCTTACTACCAAAGTTGCCAATTTCAGAATTTCATTTTAATTTTTTCCGCGTCGCACGAACGGAGTATTCATACAGCGAAGCGTGACGGACACTGGCTATTATATAACGAATCGATAGATCACTCAAAGCAAAACAGCAGCTTCATTTTGCAATCTGTTTTTTTTCTCACGGCAATAACTAAAATATAAGGTACGGATTACCGCCAGCGTGAAAATGATAGCATCCAACAGAAACACACAGGGGCATACGAGGTGCGATCGGAAAGTTTCAAGACTGCGCGTATAAAAAAAAAAAATATATAAAAACCCGTACACTTATCTCAGGTATTAAATTCATCCATCACCCTCGAAGTAGTTCCCCTGGGAGTGAACACAACGATCCCAGATGGTGCTTGACAGG